TTTATTTATATATTTATTTATTTATATTTATATATATTTATATAATATATGTGATCTGGTTTCAGAACACGGTGCAGAGCGCTCAGCGGTTCCTTCTGAAGAACCAGCCGATGAGGTGAAACTGATTCAAAGATGTAATATATTTTAATAAAAATATGTTCAAATACAAACATGTATCTTCTTCTTCTTCTTCTTTATTTTACAATAATGTAAAGAGTCAATGAGACACAGTGACGTCCCCTGATGTTTACCTGCAGGTAGACAGGTGTGAACAGGTAGACGGGTGTGAACAGGTAGACGGGTGTGAACAGGTCGACGGGTGTGAACAGGTCGACGGGTGTGAACAGGTCGACGGGTGTCAACAGGTAGACAGGTGTCAACAGGTAGACGTTGTCCCTGGTGGTCTCCCCGGTTATCGCTGAGGACTCGTCTCTGCTAGTCCTGGTCTCCGGTTCGTCCTCTCCGGTACTCCTGGTCCTGGTCTTTCCTCGGAGGACCTGTCAGCTTCCTCTTCAACACGACCTTCTCCGTCCTCTGGACGACGTCGTCTCCATCCGGCGTCGTCATGGTCATGCTAAATATTGTTTACACCTGCTGTAGGACTCGATGAACCGAAGACCTGGAACCCGCAGGACAAAGACCAGGTCTATGGTTCGGATGATTCAAACAAACATTCACTCAAAATGTTGAAGAAGATTTAAGGCTGAATGTGTAAAAACAACATTAAAGATTATAAGACTTTGAACAACTAAAAGTATCTATTTGTCAGATCTATAAAATCAGACTATGACATCATCAGAGGATCACAGAAGACATCAAAGAGATCGTCTCAAATGAAGCTTTTCATGAAGTGAAACATCAACGTTGTTAACTTCACTATTGATGACGTCACCTCACAGCTGATTGGTTCAGAAGATGAAATCTCACCCGATTGTGGATCTTCTTCCTGTTTGATGCAGATGTTTCTCTGAGAGAACAAGAAACACAGAGAGATGTTTCTCTGAGAGAACAAGAAACACAGAGAGATGTTTCTCTGAGAAGAAGAAGAAACACAGAGAGATGTTTCTCTGACAGGAGAAGAAGAAACACAGAGATGTTTCTCTGACAGGAGAAGAAGAAACACAGAGATGTTTCTCTGACAGGAGAAGAAGAAACACAGAGATCATCTCTCTCCTCCAACGTACCGCCCAGTTTCCATAATGTTGCATAACATAGTTTCCATTGCTTCTTCAATATGATGATGGGGGGGGGGGGGGGGGGGAAAGTAGATCTGCTTTTATTTCCTATAATGAGATTTGAATTTGATTGTCTCAGCAGTGTTTCACTCGTGGTCGCTTTAAGAGTTGTGGGGGAGGAGCCAACAGACATTTCAGAATAAAACAGGAAGTAAAAGGTGATTGGACACCAGAACATGATGCAGCATTAGTGGACGGACAGAGGACAGACTCTTAGTCACTCACACGTCACATAATCACTTCTTCACTTTGAACCAGCGATCTCTCTTCCGATTGGTGGAAAAAAATAAAAAAACTTCGTTGATCCATCAATGAAAAAAAAAAAAAAGACGTTTATGTACAAAACTTCCTGTTTTGATTTTATTTTACAGTGAGACCACGATGAACATTCACCAATCAATAATCAATGAACGCTGGTCGTGTGACTCCACCTTAAAGGACCAGAACACACTTCCATCCACTGCTCAACCCTTTCAAAATAAAGTGAACGTTTTCACTCGTAAATCATTCCATCATCATGTGACCACTTCCTGTTTTATTGGTTTATTTAAACTCTCTAATAATAACAATAATTAAATACTGATCAATTATATTTATATTTATTAACAGTGGTGTGGTCCTTTAAGGGGGGGGGGGGGGTTATAAAAAGCTGGTAAACTTTGTTTCTACTCTTCAGATTGTCATGAAGCTTTAATTTACTGATGGAAACGACACAAACAACCATCAAAACCATCAACACCACCACAGGAAGGCACTGCTGCTTCCTTTCACAATAAAAGTCCTTCTGGGTCTAAAGACAAGACGACACACCGTCACATTACAGGAAACATTTGAACACATCGTCAGAGACTCATCGGTGAGGTGTTCACTGTCCGCTGGTGAGTGTGGAAGATCAGGATTCTATGAACCGATGACGTCATTATTGATTCATCTGATCAACAAGAAAAAAGTCCAAAGATTCAGTTCGTCATCGTAGAAAAACATAAATATTCACAAAGAAACCGAAGATTTGTTTTCTTAAAATAATTACTCAAAAACTCAAATCGTGTTTTATAAATAGTTGCTGATTAATTTCCTGTCGATCAACGGATCACGTGACTGATTCCCACACACACACACACACACACACCCGCACAGGTTACCAGACCAGCAGACAGCAGCTCAGAGGACAACAAGCGCCGGATGACATCACTCCACCGGCACACCTGATGACATCACTCCACCGGCACGCCGTCCACGCTCTCCTGTGAGACCTCCGAGTCCAGCGAGTAGCAGGAGCTGCCGTTGTCCTGAGCATCCCTGTTGACCTCCTCGGAGAGTGCGGTGGCGGACGAGGCTCCGCCCCCGGGTTCGCCGGTGGCGGCGTCGCAGAAGTGGGCAGAGGCCTGGAAGAGCTGGCTGCAGAGGCGGTTGTAGCGGTGGTAGCGGGACGGTTTGCCTGTGTGGGCGTACATGTGCTCCTGCAGCTGAGACTTGTGGGAGAACCGCAGGCTGCAGACGGCGCAGGCGATCTTACGTTTACGGGAGTGCAGGACGGCGAGGGTTGGACTGCCACCGCCGATCCCTCTGCTCCTCCTTAGCTCTGCAGCCAGCTGGTTGGCGAGCGCCTGGCTCTGCCTCAGGGCCTCCTCCAGACACCCGGCGTCCAGCTGCTCCTGGACTCCCGCCGGACCCTCCTCCTCCACGCCGGCGTCCATCAGCCGAGCGGGGTCGAGGGCGGCGTGGCTGAACAGGTGCTCCCGCAGGTCCTCGGGGGACGAGCAGCGCTCTCCACAGCGAGGACACAGCAGGACCAGGACCCGGTCTTTGAACAGGAGACTCTGATTAGGACTGCTACCCTGAGACGGAGACCCCGCACCTTCAGGAACCTCCTCGCCTCCGTCCTCTCCCTCCTCCTCCTCCTCCACCCGCTCATGCTTGATGCGTCCGGATACGTCCGAGTCGTCTCCGGATGCCACGGAGCAGACGTTGCGTAGCGCCGAGGTCTGGCGGTCCAACGGGATCCCCTCCAGTCCGACGGCAAGGGCCAGCTGGGAGTGGGACCGCCCCCCCCGGCTGGTGGAGCGTCCGTCCTCGGGGGTCCCCCGGGACACCGCGGTGGTGTTGGGGACTCCGGCCGCCTCCTTGTTGGCCAGCTGGGAGGAGATCTGGATGCCGTACAGGTTGGACATGCGGACCATGTCCGCAGCGCCGTCGGTGGCGGCGCCCTCGCCGGGTTTCCGGCACAGCTGGTAGGCATGAAGGAACTTGATGCCGTCCTGCAACCGGCTCTGGTCCACCGGTTGTTTGGGACACATGCCGGTGTACATGATGTGCAGCAGGTAGCTGAAGACGTCGGGCTGGATGTCAGTAGGCTGGATCTTTATACACTCACTGAGGACAGACACAGGGACAAGGTCTCAGAGATCCTCCTGACCTGGTCTACAGTTACAGAGACCCTCCCGACCTGGTCTACAGAGACACTCCTGATCTGGCCTACAGTTATAGAGACTATCCCGACCTGGTCTACAGAGACACTCCTGATCTGGTCTACAGTTACAGAGACCCTTCTGACCTGTTCTACAGAGACCCTCCTGATCTGGTCTACAGTTACAGAGACCCTCCCGACCTCGTCTACAGAGACCCCCCTGACCTGGTCTGGTGGATGAAGATCATCTTGAAGTAGTTGGAGAAGGCTGCCAGCACGGCTCGGTGAGCTTTGAAATAAACGTTTCCGATGGCGACAGTGCAGTCGCACAAAAAGCCGAACTCTCTCTGGACGTTGAGCTGCTGCAGCAGGAAGAGGCTGTGAGAGGAGACCTCCATGACACCTAGAACACATATAGAGAGGAGACCTCCATGACACCTAGAACACATAGAGAGGAGACCTCCATGACACCTAGGACACATAGAGAGAGGAGACCTCCATGACACCTAGAACACACATAGAGAGGAGACCTCCATGACACCTAGGACAGATATAGAGAGGAGTGTCACAATCAGGCCTTGCCTTGGGTGTTTTGTGTGGTTTTCTGTAGCTCCTCACTTCCTTCACCTGTCCCTAATCAGTTCATTCAGTGCACCTGCCAGTCACACTCTCCCTCATCAGCACAACTCTCCTCACCTGTTCTAGTCACTATTTAAACCCTTGTCTTTCACTCACTCACTGCCAGATCATTGCTGTTGTTTCCTACCTACCAGCCCGTTTTGCTCTTCCTGTTCCCGGTTTCCCAGTCTGTCTGCCCTGTTTTTGCCCTGCCGGATTTCCCCCCTTGTCTCGTCCTTGGATTACCTGTTTTTTGTTTCGTGAGTTATTAAAACCCTTTTTGTTCACTACTCTGACTATCTGCATTTGAGTCCTCATTATGTCCCGTGACAAGGAGACCTCCATGACACCTAGAACACATATAGAGAGGAGACCTCCATGACACCTAGAACATATAGAGAGAGGAGACCTCCATGACACCTAGAACACAGAGGAGACCTCCATGACACCTAGAACATATAGAGACCTCCATGACACCTAGAACACAGAGAGGAGACCTCCATGACACCTAGAACACAGAGAGGAGACCTCCATGACAC